GACACCGTAACCTGAAGTGACATGGCTGTGTGCTGTCAGCAAAGGGTGGGGACAGGTGGAAAAATCTGGTGTCTTCTGACACCTTATTTACTCAAATCCTTCTGGCTCATGATGATTCCTCTGAACCCATTTCTCAGTCATCAGGAATGAATGTCCAGAGCTTGCGGTGCTCTGCACTTCTCAGGGATCTGAATGAGGGTGCCAGAGGTGTAGGTTTTCAAGGAAAGTGCTGGCACCTTCTCTGTGAGGTGCAAGGATCATGCTGGGAGACACCAGTCTCTGTTTGAGGAAGAGCAACATAGCATATTTTAAGGTCAGCTCTTCAGTGAATCACAGAGAGGGAGGCAACACTTCTGGGTTCTGGCTGGCACCACACCAGCATGCTTCTTGCACCATGACTTTGCTCTCTGGCATGTATTTCACATCTCCCTCTCTGCTGCTAACCTCTGGCAAGGCAAGCTGCATGCAAAGAGAGGAATGACATCTACTCCAACATCACCTTGGGCCTGCCATGAAACTCAGTTTCCATCCAGTCAATTTCATAAATCCTGCACCCTTGGGCTAAGGGGCTCCTACAGCCTCCAGAAGGGGAGAAGCAGCACACCTTTCATTCCTGAGAAGGACACTGAGCTATCTATAGGTTTAAGGGTTTCACCATTGATGAGATCATAGAACTGTGGTGCTGCGTGCTTTTGAACATGGCCTTCTTGCACCTTCACGTCCCTCCCCTCTTGGAGAAGTCAAAGCATTTTGCCGTGTTTCTGGCTCTGCCCCAGCCTCTCCACAGGATGCAAATCAGTGTGGGAGGCTGCTCAGTGTTCCTATTTATCATTTCACTGATAGCTGCACCCTACAGCTCCAAGAAAGGAGGAAATGGAAAAGCGTGGCTGTGCTCCCAGCAATACAGCTATTATCATCTCCCTATGACCGTGATCAGGAAGGCATAGGAAAGGAGGAGGAGCACGTCTGCAGGAAAGTGACACAAGCTCCTCTCCTGTTACACCCACTGCAGGAGTAGGTGGGGAGGAACCAGACTGAGAACTTCTGCAGTGGGCAGCAGCCCACAGATCCTTCTTGTGTTGCTTAATGCAATGCAGAGGGGCACAATGTCCAAAATCACCTTTGCTGACTTGTACAGAGGATGCATTTGAGCGTTCCTGGTTCTGAGCAACTGTTGCAAGTACAGAGCAATCCAAGAGGGCACTGTGCTGTAAGCACTTTGGTGCTGTATGCTCCTCTCCATCAAAGATACCAGTTACACTATGTCATGTAGGCAGGCTTGTTTCCAAATCCTCCTTCAGTGGGATTTTTCACTTAATTTTCATTTATAAGGTTTGATGGGTTTGGTTTATTTATTTTTTTAAAAAATAAGGATTTTTTTTTTCTATCTTGGAGGGAAAAAAATGTGTTTAGTCACTATTGCTTCAAAGCAACTGTCCTTTTTGGAGCAAGGAAAAGAGATCTGGTCTGTTGTTGTGAACTACTGAAGTCCAGTTGATCCTTTGCCTACTGTGAGCAAATTGCAGTCGTGGGTACTAGCCCATGTTTTCCTGAGATTTTGCATTCATTTAATGACCTGAGCTTTGCAAAAGACAGACGCACAGCCAGCTGTAAGTCGCAGTGTGCTCAAGCAATAATACGTGATGTGTCCTGAATTCTATAGCTTATATAACTCACCTTCAGTATAGAACCTGGGATGATCAGGAGAGGACTTCATATCTCTTCTTCAAGACACAGCATAATAAACTATCTAAACTGCACAAGCTAGAATCTTTCATGAGTGTTATATTTCAGCCCAAGCCTGAAAACAACAGGCAACTTTCTACAACCAAAGACTGCTTTAGGCTAAATTCCAAGGCCCATATTCAGAGAAAAGTAACCTGATTTCTGAGCTGAAATACACACAAGTTGCAAGGCTGGTCCTGCTCTCACCATAAACCTTGGTCTTTATTCCAGTGCCTAAAAGTGGATGTAGGACATCACTTTGAAGAGGTACTTTTGTTTCTTCTTTTTTAACAAATGGCAAGAAAGACCAAAATCAAAGAACAGCAAAAGGCTGCTTTAGCATCAGTATCTTCAGTATTTAAGAATATGCAAGAGCTGATAACATGATGGGGGATCCCTGTAGTATGCTGGGACACGAGATGGGAGAAAGTCTAAGAGTAAAGGCTGGGGAAGGTGCAAGGCAGGTTCAGCTTGATATTTGCTGGGATGACTGATAGCTCACAGCCATGTATGAACATGAATGCTTGAGGCTGTGGAGAAACATAAGAGATGATCTCTGATGATTACAATAAACTGGACCAGTATTTCAAGAACAACTCATGCAGCCTGGTCTCAAAGTACTAATCTAGGCTCAGGTACCACTACTGCTGATGGACTGCAGAGGTAAATGTTCTGTGGCTCATTTTAATTTTGAATTAAATGGAGTTAATACTAATTCTTGTGCTGGAAAAACCTGAGGATGGTGAAGACACTCCTCTTAGGAGGAGTTGGCATGAGTGGGAAACTTCGCCCTGAACTTCAGGCAGGGCAAGGTTTCCAGCTTGTAACTGATAGACCGGAGTCCAGATGAGAATGTTTATCCAAGAATTAGCGTGTGTAAATCTCCTCAACTCCTGTTTATCTGCCCTTTCTGCTCAATGCCATGTACTCCTTTCTGCTTGCCTAACAGCCCGATTCCTGAAGCTCAGAGACTGCTGGGATCTGACAGACAAGTCTCATACAGACATCTATGGCAGGAGTGGAAAGACCACAAGTACCAGCCAAATTTATACCATGCAGGTGCACATTTAGTCTGATCCCCTGCTTTTGTCCAGTAAAAAAAGTCAAACAGTAGATCTGAAAGCAAAATATTTTGTTTGTATGAACTCCAAAACTTTAATCAAACATGACTGCTTGCTACAACACTGTGATTTGCTCTTTTGATTAATTTGTGGGGTCTTTTCTGACAGAAAGGAAATATCAGTCATCATTGCCTGGTTTATCTGTGGTGGGATTTACTTGGATTTTAAACATCGTAACCTGACCCAGATTGCTTTCATGATTAAAGGATGGAAGAAAGCATTTCAAGGAAGAATCATCTCCCATTCTAGGAGGAGATGAGGATAGCAGCTTCTACCCAGACTCCACTGTCTGTCTTGTCAGTGATTACCTCAGGCAGAGATGTCTGCATTGGAGATAGTTGTATCAGCCAGTATGTATAACATCCACATTGCTGCTGATTTTACCTGTAATTAGGATTTCAAATCCTGCAAACAGTCTCTGAAGTCTTCTAAGAACACCAAAATTCATGACGAATTAAAGTTATTGGTTTACTCTCTGAATAGAAAGGAAGAACAACTACAGTTAAATCCTGCAGAGAATTGGGAGTGAGCTATTAAGATGTCAACTCCCCACAGTGTGATGTTTTGGATACTCAAAGTTGCCATGGGCTCAGGGTTGAAATGGGTGAGTTCATAGAAGTAGCATCAATGAAGAGTTACTGAGAAGAAAGACAGCCCCCGTATTTCAGGAAGTACTTGAACTGTAAATTCTTCGAAGTTGGGAGAATATTTGGAGAACTATCACTATGCTCTTTGTCTATCCTTACAGTCTCTGAGGCATCCGCACTTGGAAATTACATTGAATATTTATAGAAATAAGATACTGGGCTGGACGGGTCTGTGACTGAACACATACAGCTATTCTTACATCCCTGACTACTAACAGCACATGTGCTTACAGAAAGGAAGGTTGGGCTGCTGTTTTAATATATAAGTCCCTGATAAATACAGAGCCCATAGAACTGACTTTAATATTAAGCAAATTCAGAAGAATTCAGCTGATTACAAGGTGGAGCTGTTAACTTGTGACTTTATTTTTTTGCTGTTTGTTTGTTTCTTTTACTCCAGTTATCATCTTCACATGTGAGTATTGTTTCCAGATGTTGTATATTTCCCAAAGCAAGAGGATCAGCATTCTTGTTTGGTAATGAGAATGGTATAAGAGTGTATATTGAATAATTGCAGAATAATGAAAAATGAAAGCAGTGTTTGAGACAAGCTCAATGTCCAGGTTCTCACAGCCCAGCAAGTTCTGCTGTGAGGCTGCTGTGAGGTTTTCCTGACAGACTGTACAGTCCTAAAAATGATGTTTAGACTTCCCAGCTAAGCAAGTTGGACGGGGTGTGTGTGTGAGAGATGGACCTCAAGATTCCTAGATGTATTTCTCCAAGGAAGATGTTCAGCTGGTGTAAATTGGCACAGCTGTCTCCCAGCAATCCCCTTGGTGCACTGACACTTTGACTGAGAGACCGGGGAGCTCCTGCCCCTCCCCGCACACAGGAGGGTAAGGCAGATGGAGTAGGCATTTGGTTACCCTATATGTTCTTATTAATGACTTCACGGCTTGTGTATGAGAACATGCAGAGGTGGGACGGAGATATCATTTATGCACAGTTCCTAAAACTCTTTTTTTTTCACATTTATCCCCAAGTGCCCTTCTTCCATGTTTTAACCCAGAAAAGGCAGACACTTCAAAACTTGGCTGTGGTTCAGCAGTCACTTCTGTTTAGAATGAATTGCTTTACATCCTGCAAACAGCTTGTGTTACACAGTCCATATGCCTCACATTCTCAGTTCAGATCCTCTATTTGACTTTCCAATCAACTTGTCCTGCAAAGCAAGTGTATGTGTCAGAAGCAGCTCAGTTTGTTCAGTAATGAAGCAGTACTGCATTAGCAATTTGGGTTAGTAATTGTTAGCATTTCTTTTACTGGGCAGAAATAACTGAGCTGCTATTTTTTATTACAGCCATGATCAAAGTGCACCAAAAGATATTTATATTCAACATAAAATATAGGCACATTTTAAACAGATGTCATATTCAATAAAGAAACAATAGATAGGCAGAGAGTTTGAGGATTAATTTATTTTATCCAAATAAAGGAAAATTGATACTTTGTACCCTATCTGTGGACTATGAAGTAAACCAAAAGTGTCTAGCTTATTTGTAGTCACCTGCATCATCCACAGCCTTCTACCCAGCTGTTACTGGTAGAAGTCACTTCTCGTTCCCATATCCTGGAGGAGCCAACTTCCTGCAATATATTGAAAAAAAAAAAACCTGCAAGAAAGATGCTAGTACTTCATATTCCTTTTTAAATCTTTCCATGACCTTCATGGGCATGGTGACCCAATGATGTAAGCTATCTGTTAGCTGTCTCTCTCAGCTGATAAATGAATGAAATTTATACAAAATCTAATGGACGCACAAATGTAAAACATTACTTTCTGGGGAAGGTGACAAATACAGAGAGAGAAGCAAAATTATAAACATTCTTCAGTCAAGACTTTGGTAAAGAATAAGTCTTTCTACATGCCTGTTTTTACAGTGTGTGTATTCTGTGTGGTCATGTCTTTGCCAACTCAAATGGACAAAGATAGGCAACATTTCAATGTTTTTTCAAAGCTGGATGTAAGTCATATTTTGTTAAATTCCTTTAGCAAGTTTTGACCTTTCCAAGAATATCTTGGATGTCAGTCTATGGCTTACAATTTCCAGGTTGCAGCAGAAAAAGAACCCAAACCCTATTGTTTACAGCTGCTTCAACACAAGCTAGGAATAGTCTTCATTAGATGGTTTTAAGAAAGATGATTTCAAGAAAGATGGCTTCATGACATACATTCAGGCCATGTGTATTCAATGTATTAGAGGTTGAATCAACACACAAAATTAATGGTCTATGAATGAAAATATCATTTTAGTGAAAGCTGATTCCAGGTTCTGTCTGGCTGATTAAAGGAAAGGCTCTGTCCTCAATGACCTATGTGCTTAACAAGTCATAGAAGTACTCCTACTGACTAAGCCATATTTGACTACACTTTGAATACAAATCTTTTTTCTGAGCGAGTCCTACCAAAACACTGCCTCCAGATGACCCAGGTGTATCTGAAGACCAGTCATTCAAGCAAGGGAACTGGTGTTGTTTGACATTACTTGTACCCACAGGGATCCTTGTTTTATGAATAGCTACAGATTGCTGAAGTGTATTAGTGACAGCAGCTTCCTGTGCCACCTGCTTTTGGAAAGGACTTCAGACGTGGATTCTCATTGACTTAATATGAAATTATTAATTGAGGAAAGACAGGAGGCAGGATTGAGCTTTCTTTGGGAAATCATTTGTGTCAGCACCATTTAGGCACTGGTTCCAAAGTCTGGAAAAGTGCCAGGAGAAAAGCAGTCTCAGTAAATTTATGTAGGCCAGGGAAACTAATTTTATTAGGTAAGGAGATAGGCAAGCTCCCCAGGAGTTATCTCAAAGGCATTTCCTCCAATTGTTTAGTTCTTTGTTTTTAGCATCACACATTCTTCCTTCCCCTCCTACTAGAGAGTTTACTCTGAACCGTCCAAAGGCTAGAGGCATTTGTCATGGAAGCGGCGTGTAAAAGGCAGCATGCCATAGTATCCATTGCATGTCAACAGCTCTCTCTTTCAAAAGCACTGTAAACAGCTTGCCTTTGTGGCTTCCAGGTCAGGGAAGTTTTTTGTTGTTTTCCCAAGTATTTAGTATCTTGTCCATTTCCTTGTCCATGTCTTATGATGCTCCATAGCACTTTGACATTTATTAGCCGTGTGAAACACATTTTGGAGGAACCATTTAATCATTTCTGACCTCTTCTCCTTCCTCTCTAGGGGAAAAGGCTGCACATCTACTGCTCTTCAATATTGCCTGTAGTCATGCTAGGCTTCTGCCCAGATTCCACTCATTGCTCAATTCTGCTTCTTTTGTGCGTGCTCTTAGCCTCTCTCTCTGGCGGTGGCTTCTGCTAAACACATCAAGCTTGCCAACACCATTGGACTTAAAATTCAGTACTGGGCTGTTACCATGACTCACCTAATGAAAAAGGAACTATGAAGTAGCTGATTTGATCCTTTGGCCATTTTCAAAACGTGGGAAGCATTCCATTTACTTCCACGTGCCAAAAGTTACAGCTGTATCTGAATGTTCTGTTGAAGAAAAATAAGCAAATAACAAAGCTCTATTTGTCTGAAATGTTTTATATGTCCATTTAAGAGTAAGATGAATTATGTTCTGTTTGTCTCTGTTGACTATACAGAGCTTGAGATGACAATCATAGATGAAGATATCATAGAGCAGCAAAATAGGGCTTCTCCTTGTGGGCAGAACAAGCCAGGAGCTGAGGAAAACCACAGCCCAGGCTGGTCTATACTCTCACTAAACTTAAGCAGACCTCCTGGACCAGTGAGTGGAGAGTGGAGCTCCCAGGTGAGGCTGGATGGTGCAATTCAGGCCTGTTAGTGTACTCAGGGTCCTGACATAGGTGGGCATTATAGATATGGAAAATCCCCTACCCTATATGACTTGTCGCGATGGAAAATCCTAGTAAAACTGAGACTGGAACCTAGATCTGCATTTTATCATGAAATCTCAACTGTTAGCTCTGTCAAGCATATCTCCTGAATGAGTTCCACAAAGGTTCTTCGGTTTCCATTTTAGTGGTCACTATGTTTATTTGTTATCTTGAAAAATGACACCACTTTAATGGATATCATTAAATAAAAAATAGCCTGGGAACAGAGTTTCCTTTTCACTCAGTTAAATCTATTTGGAGCTGCCATGAATAAAACCACCAGTGAAATCCTATGAGAGATACAGTACAATGTTATATTGCCTACTCAGGCTAAGTCACAATTAATACTACATTTTTGCTTTCCAAAAAATTGGCCATTTTCAAGAAAATGTTGACAAATTGAGGTATTTTAATACAGAGCTTAGTGTGGGTAGCTTCTCGGGAGAAAATTAAGGGATAACGTGGCTAAAGTTTTTAAGTATATGCAAATACCTGCAAATAAGTAAGTCAGAGAAGACTCTTTGCACATGCAAAAGTTTATAAGTCACCATAGTCAGTACTGCTGAGGAAATAAAAGTGAAATTCGCTTCTTCGTAACACAAATATCTAAATCAAGTCAGATGAATTGCTGTCTAAAACAGCCCCCATAATGGAGGAAATTAAAACGTAGCTGGAGTGTTGCTGAAGGTAGAATGTTATTATCCTACACTGATGCTTGGTTGAATAGTTTGCATTTTTGATAGATATGCTTACCATTATCCCCATTCAGATTACTACAAGAAATAACACTGTTACTGAAATAGAAATCAAGCAGCAAGGTGAGTGTTGTTAATCAAAGGAAAGAAGCACTTACACAAGGCAAAACCTTGCTGGGAATTCACTATCCCATTCAGATTTCTCACCTTCGTGTCCTGCAAAACAAACAACATAACATACTCAAAATGCTGTAAGAGTAAAATTCAACAAACTGTATCCTTTTAATACCTAAACTACTGAATTTATGTTTTCATTGACAGCATTTAAGAGACATCTATCTCACAATACCCATTTTCATTAGCTGAATACCAACTCATATGTATTTACACCACTTCCAGATTAATATCACCATTTAGGCTACTGTGACCTTAAAATTCATCAAAATTCTCCTTGTCAAAATAGCCTTGACTCAGAAACCCCTTAGGTAGTTTTCCTCCTCAGACAGTACCAGAACATCCTCAATACCCCATCTCATTACATTCCAGACCAACAAATTAGCACATCTGATAGCTTTCCTGCCTTGTCACCCAATTAATGAAAACCAGATGCCTTCTCTGGTGTCAAATGCAAATTGTTTCCCACATCCCATTATGCCAAAAAGCATCACTTCCCAGGGTTCCAGGGGCCCAGTTCCTTTCACTTTTATGGATATAGTTGCCCAAAACCTTAAAGGGGTTGAGCAGTGAAGCTTGTTACTTGATAGTTGTTGTGAAGAAGATGGTGAGATTGACTCTGACTATCATGGTGAACAAAGACATGATGCCATGATGACATTGTCTGTTTCATCAGCCAGGGAGCTTGCTGAACCACAGTTTCAAAGCACAACCTTCCAAGAAAATACAAAATTAAAGGAATCCCCAGATTTATTGTCTGTGCTTCAGCACCTGGCTCACTCATTTGATGAGTTCTTCAGTTCTTCCTTAAAATCTTAAAATTAAGATCTTTTGTCCAGTTACTTTTAGAAGAAGGTTTTAGGCTCTTTGTCTGTCTTCTTTTATTTTTTGTGGTTATTTTTCCTTTTTTTTTTTTTTGACAGAGAGCAGCAAGACCTACTCTTAATGTCCTAATTAGTATTACTTGACAGTTTTCTGAGAATTGTTTTACACATAAAAATAATTTAAAAATAAAAATAAAATATTCACTCTTTTAAACCACAATATGAAGTCCATTTTTCTAATTACAACTTTTAGCTTATTAAGTCCTCTAAGGATGTTTTCTTGGATGGGGAGGAGAACTACATGCAACTGATCTCTGCTTCAGGCATCTAGGTCTCCTAGAGAACCCAGAACTAAGTCTTAATTCAAATGACACATTAGACACACACATTAGACACACCCAGAGTCTAATACACATGCTTAGAATCTCTCTGTCACAAACCTAACAATTTAAGACATCATCTACCACACCTTTAATAATTTGTATTTTAAGCACCCCTTTAGGAAAGCCTGATAATGGCCACACCTTTTCTTTCTCCAAACACTTCCCTTAAACAACCTCCAAGTAAAATGCTAAATTAATAATAGTTTTGTTTAGGAACTAGTTATCAGGAGCCAGAAATTTCAATGAAGTGGAAAAGAAGTGACTGGTTTCGTGGTTTGGATGCATTTAAGGTTGTGGTTATGCATTTTTAGTTTAAAGATACCTTTGGGATATATCAGTCTAAACAGAAAAAAAAAAGCAATATCAGGAGAGTCAGCAAAAATAAAATTAAGGCAGACCAGCAATCTGGAAGACATTCCAAAGAATCACAAAAAAAGGAAAACTGGAAAGAAACTCAAGAAGTCACCAATTTAAGGCTGGATTAAACATTTCTGATGTGTTTTTTGTTGTTTTTTTTTAAAGCCTTCTACAACTGACAATAATAAATACTATTCTCTTCCTCACTAATTCTTCTCCTGCTCTACCACTAGGATAATGAGGCTTATATCTCACTTGAGCTTTCAGAGGTGCCTTCCAAGCCTGTGACATCCCCCATCTTTACCAAACAGAGAAATTTGTCTCTCTCCTTTCCATAGGAGCAACTGCCATCATGGCAGATTTCTAGATTATTCCTTTAGGTCATGTTAACTTGATGATTATCTTTTTTGGGATAACAGTGGACAGAGATAGATAGAGTGCTCCCTATCAATGCTTAACACTGTCTTGAGGAGTACTCAAGTTTTCTTCTGAGCTTTATACCCTTCTTTCACATATACATTACTTGTGCTGTGCCCAAATAATACCAAAAATTGACAAGTAATATATCCATAATAATCTGTGTTTAAAATTCTTTGGGCATATGGTGGGACTATTTGGATGAAGTTACAGGGTATCTGCCAGATGAGTTAATAGAAATGGCTGAGAATTAAGTGTCTCAGTCTGCACTAGACAGCTATGGCTTTCTCTATAATCACCTGACAGGAACAGAGTTCAGAGTGATGGTTATCACTTATTTTAGATGTCTGCTTTAGGATGGTACTAATTTCCCCCCATATTTTCCTTCAGGAACCCTGAAGCCCACCTTAAACATCTAAGAATTCCTTATCTGATATTATCCCCTTTTGCCTTTTACCTTGTTTGTTGGAATTAAAGTTTTGGGCTACAATAGTCTGTTATTTTAGCAGAACATAATCCTGATCTTGCTTGATACTCTGCCAAGAATGACAGTCAATAGCAGCTGAAATTCGTAGGAATAGATGGCATAATTATTTTCAGAGGTCTTATCAAACTATTGTTTCAGTGTCCATTGGCTAAGAACCCTTCATCAGATAATAATTGAAATAGTTTGAACTGATAGATGAAGATAACACTGCAAAATGCAAGGTTAGGACTCAAGCAGTGGGGCTTCTGAGCGTCTTGTATATGAGCCTTGGATTTGAAGTGGAGTTGTGTTTCTCTGCCATCTAGACTGAAATAACATATGGAGATGTCTTTCCTAACTTCAGGAATGTAACAGATTCACGCCTAATTCAGTGCAAAGTTTGTCTTCCCTCATAGTTTTAGATATTCTACTATATACCACTTAGCTCCCATCTCTTTGTCCAGAAGGGCACAAGCCTCCTGCAGCTCCTGTGTCCCCTCTGAAGCCTTATCTGGGTACCATAAATAATTTAGGGCATCTCAGTTTTCAGTAGAGCTTATGTTTATGACTAAATCCCACCTAATGTGTCTTAAAATGCAGGCTAAATTATGCCATATCAAAAATATCGCTGTCTATGTATAACCTAGGTTCCTAGCTCCCAATATACCTGATGGAGATCTAATCAGTTGGTGGAGTTTAGAGGGCAATTTATTTTACCCTACAGCAGACAGCCCCTGACTTAGCTATAGCTCTCTATAGGCTCTGTTACTGTACTGGCTGTTTTCCCAAAAATCCTTTTTCAAGCCACTGGCTTTATCTTACCCAATATTAAACATCTCCAGTGTGTCTGTCTCGATACTACAGATCACTACACAAGCTGTGTATGAGTGTCCTACCTTCTTTTACAGTTAAAAAAGAGAAAAAGACAAACTGTCTCTCTTTATTTTAGACTTTGACTTCAGGATGAAGAATCACTCTCCACACAGTGACATTAATTGGACACCCAATGACTGGCTCATACGGACACATCTACACTAAACTATAGGCTTAAGGAGTGAGAGGAGATGGCTGTAGCCCTGTATGCATTACACTCTGGATCTATTACACTCTGGGTGTATTGCACCCCCTTAGCATGCTGTTGGGTGAAGCTGATGAGGTTTAACACTTCAGCTCCTAACAACAAAACTGGTGTGCAGTAACCTGTTAAACTGGTAGATCCTGTGTCACTCATGTTCCCTGCTGCACGGTGTAGGCTTTTGCAACCTGTTACATGAGTTGCATTTGTGCAAAATATCCATGTGGTGGAATAGCATTGCTCTCTAAGAAAGTGTCTGCCTAGTGATGTTGAAAGATATTTGCATTTTGCAATGGTGCTGAAAAGATGCCAAAAGGATGATTTGACTATGGAGGAATTTTAATTTGTTTTTTGGTTCTTCTTTGTTTGCTTAAGGTGGTTGTTTTTGGAAATGTAGGCTTTGAGGAAAAAACCTGCCTGGAATTCAGTTGCAAACAGGAAAACCAGGATGGGGAAAGTGAGAAGTTGTTCACATGGATGTTAGAAATGTTGCTTTTAGAGACCATTCCCGGGGAATTAAAAATGACCACAAGCCATGGGAACCAGTTCAGCTTGGGAAGCTAACACTCCCTTCAGAGCCTTTCAAACATGAAAACAGAGCCTTAAACCCAAGAGTGCTCAAGAGTGATGATTGAAAGACTGTCTTGGAGGATCGGTACGGCCACAGGATGGTGCAATGTGCTCAGGAAGCCAGGTCTGTATTCTCTGAGGTGTGACTAGCCAATATCAGCCTAGGAGCCATGGACAGATGTATATGCTCTAATTTCTCCTTCTGGAAGGCAAGAATAATATAATAATGTCCTATTTAAAAGCAACAGAAATTGCAGCAAGCTCCTGCTGTTAAAGTGTGTGTCTTTGAGTGGTTCAGCCCCATCCTGAGAACCTCTTGCAGGTTTGACCCACACTACAAGTCCCTGAAGGCAAAAATAGTTTTGTCACCAAACTGAAGTCACTCTTCACAGTACCAACAACACAGAAGCTTCAGTGTAGTCAAGGAGATACAACAGTTCTTACGCTGGAGATGAATGAGAAAAAAGACTGCCACAGAGCACGCAGGAATGCACACAGGTCACGCTATGTACAGCTGTGCTCTACACAAGACATCTGCAGGCCAATTCAAAGACTTCTGTCCCAGTAAAAACCTGTATGCTGGGGGTAGCTGGTTGGCTGTGTAAGGCCATCCAGTTACCTAAATGTGGGGCTCTCTGGTAGACGAAGGGACAGTGGATTAGTCTGGAAACTCCTTAGTTAGGGAATTCTTTAATAGGGAACTCTTTAAGACTTACCTACAAGGTCTGCTCTCCACTTCTATACACCCACAGTGTCTCTGTGTCACTGATGCATCTATTTGTTTTGTTTGTTTGATTCACAGGTGCTTCAAAAGAAAGGAGGAAGAAAGAGTTCATCTCATTGTATAAGAGTACAGCACATTGCTCATGGCTAAAAGCACTGAGGTCTAATCTTGACAGTACAACCTCCAGTGTAATAAAGACAAACTGGTAGGATGCGGCTCTTTCTTAG